AGGTCCAGCAGAGGCATTCATACCAACCTGCTGGGAGGGGTCTTGGGGAGAGAGGTGGCCCTGCTCAGGGAGCCTGGGTGCTGACCCTGCTCATCCTGGAGTGACTGTCTCTCCCGCAGCTGTGACCACACGCCAGGTGCGTACCATTGTGGAGGAGGTCCAGGACGGTAAGGTCATCTCCTCCCGAGAGCAGGTCCATCAGACCTTCCAGCCAGCCCCCCTTCCACCCTGCAGTCTCCAACCTCCTTGGACTCTGCCTGCCTGCTTCAGCCCCTTACCCACATGTCCCTGCTGGATTCCCAATAAAGCTTGTTGACTGAAATGTGGAATGCAGTTTTGTCATGGCCATTGTGTGTGTGTGGGCCCTAGTGAGAAATGGGTGGTCTGGGAGGGGATGGGGGTGGAGTCCTTCGACATTCACTAGTGACTTGGAGGTCCAGGGTCATCACCAGAGTGAAGAGTGATCTGGGTGAACTGGGTGGAGGGTGCTTTATATCTTGCAATGACTGGTGATCAGGAGACAGACTGACCCAGAGCCGTGATCCCCTTGAGGGTGATGTGGGGAGCTTAGGAGACTTTGTCCAGGGCACCCCATGAGGGCCCAGGCATGCTGACTGAGCTGAGGGGAATCTGTGGGGGGAGCCACAGTTTCAGACTCGCTCCACCTCGCTGCTGCCAGTATGTTTCATGGCTCCATCAGCAAGGCGGGAGCTGCCAAGTCTGCAAATGCCCATTTTGATATGATGAACAGACTTCTCTTACCCAGGCCCAGACCTGTGGTAGCCAATTCCTGTAATTCTTCCTCAGTCACACCCATACCCTGGAGGGCAGACTGGGCAGCAGGACAGATGGTGACACCTGTGCTGGGAACTCCATCGTGTTCTGGGCCTGGGTGGAGAGCAGGACGGATGATGCTCCCATGGCCTCATGTAGCATGCCGCCTTGTGCTATGTCAGGCTACGGGACTTCATCTCTGCCACTGGACACAGAGCTGCAGCTATCATTGCACTTGACTGAGCCATGTGCTTCCTACCCTCAGAAGGGACACCAATCATCTGGAAGGGGAGAGGACCTGCAAAGGCAGGCCATCCCTAGGGAGCCTGCATCTCTCTGCTTTCCTGAAGGCCCCTGTATTCCACCACGATCTGATCATACAGTGTTCAGATTGTATAGATGGTCCCTTCTCCCCCTGACACTGCACACAGTCTGTCTTACTGAGTCTGAGTGCACATACAGTGCCTGGCACATAGTAGGTGCTACAGAAATACCTGGATCAATGAAGTGATAGCCATCAGTCAGTGCTAGGTGCTTTATTGGTGTCACCAACAGTCCTCCCAGCATGCATGGGGACTAGTGCTGATATTCTGACTTCCCAGAGTAGGAGGCTGAAGTTCAGAGAACACCTGTGACCTGGCCCCTAGGGGCTCTTCCCTTCCCTCATTTTGTCTGGAAGTCTGTGGCTGAGGCCCTGCAGAATCCTCTTTCTCCCCTCAGCCTCCTGCTCTTCTCTCCTACCTCACCCCCCTCAGCCCCAACACCATGGCTGCCTCCTGCTGCCCAGCCTGCCTGGCCATTGGAATTCCTTAGGTGCTTGTAAAACATCCCCAATGGCCAGGCTAATGCCATGGGTGGGAGCAGAAACCAGGCTCTGAATTGAGTTGCTGATGATCAGCCAGGTTTGGATTCATGGCAAGTTAAGGCCTGGCATTGGCCAATAATATTTCTCAGCCAACCTGTTTGAGATGATCTCATACCCAAGATGGGGTGGGGTAAAGAAAGGCAGAAGAAGGCAGGGGTGGGGGAACACACTGCTGGAGGGGAGCAGCCCGGGGGGGTTTGAGTTCTGGGCCCACCAGGCTCAGCTTAGCAGATCTGCCTATTGGCAATCCAAGGCAGGTGCACACTGCCTATACCAAGGAACTGTCCTACTTCTTCTCTGCCAATGTGGGTTCTTCGAGGCCTGGCTGGAGCTGCTTCTAGCAGGCTGCTTGGAAGGTCAGGGCTAGGTGGGTAGCCTCTCCTCCACTGCTGAGGCCCAGAGCAGGGTCATGCTCACCTTCAAAGCATCTTGTGGCCGGGGATAGGGTGGCAGAGTGGACCAAGCCCCTTCAGGTCCTAGGCCTGTTCCAGAAATCCAACCCTTCATTTCCTGACTGCTGTCCTGGGTCAATGATTCATTCTTCTGGGGTTGGGGCTGAGTGCTGGGCACGTACTTGGTGGGGCTTGATCTCTGTGCCCACTGAAAGCTTGGTGGGTTGGTTAGTGTCTTAGCTGGAGAAGATCCCTAGATCTCCAGTCCTGGGACCATGTGATCCCACCCTGATTCCTCCAGAAGTGGGGTGGGGATAGGGGGCAGTTATCCAATTGGCAGCTGTTGGAGAAGGAAGGGTACCCAGAAACTCCACTGAGAGCTTGGGTGTAAACCTTGGTCTGGGAGTTGGAGCCAGGTTTGAGTCTGTGCTCTCTCACTTCCATGCTGTTTAACTGTGGGTAGGTCTCTCACCCTCTCTGGTTGGGTAACCTAGAAGGCCATTTCCAGTTCTCAAGATGTTAAGTCTGTGCTTGGACCAGGTCTGGTGGGGCTCTTGACCAAGACCCCCTTTGCTCATTTGGGGGGAGAGGGAAGAGAGTATGAAATTCTCCCTTGCAGGCCTGGCTTCTGCCTCTGGGCACTGTAGGCACAGGGACACACTGTGGCCGTACAAAGCCTGGTTGTACTGAGAGGAAGGATGCCTGCCTCAGGGTTCCTGGTGCTGGACCCCAGCTGAGCCCAAACTGAGGCAAGCCCTTGCCTGCCTCCTGTCACCACAGCAGAGGCTCCGAGGAGCAAGGACTGTGGCCTTGTCACCCCCACAGACCCCCCAACCCTCCCTTCAGCATTCAGTCAGGCTTTCTAGCCAAGGTCATGCCCACTGAATTCTCCAGGGAGGTAGGTGAGAATCAGTCAGATCTGGTCCCTGCCTGCAAGGCATTCTGGGAGACAGGAGAGAGCTGGGGCTCTGGGTTCTAGTCCTGCCTCCACAGTGTAAAGTTGAGTGACTTTAGACAGATCACTCCTTCTTGCTGGTTCTCCCTCTGCCCTTGTCACTTGACAGAGTTAATTCAATGATCAAGAAAATGACGCAAATTTGAGACATGTTTGTAAGGTCACCATGTGGTGACTTCTAAGCTAGAGTTGCAGTTCAAACACATCCAGTGGCACTGTGGAAAGGGCCTGGTGATCTGCTTTTATAAGGGTTACAGCTAAAAACCCCTATGGAGTAGATGTGCTCTGTAATGCATGGGATCAGCATCAGTTGGAATGGATTGGATGACACCAAGTTTGGAGGGGTGCAGGGTAGTAACGGAGTCCTGGTGTGACACTGTAGGATAAGCACTGGACTATAAGGTCAGATTGAACCGCAAGGTCAGTACTTCAAACTCACCAGCCGCTCCTCAGAATCCTTAGACAGGGTCGGTATGAGTTGGGACTGACTTGATGGCATTTAACAACAACAACCACAACAAGGTGGTACTAAGGCTCAGACTGGGGAGCAGATGAACAGGGGTTCAAATTCCAGCTCCTCTGTTGACTGGTGACTTGGGAAGTCCCTTGTCCTGTTAGAAGGAATGGTGCCCATGTCTCAGAACTCTGCAGTACATGTAAGGCGCTCTGGGCACCCCCAAGGGTGTCAGGAGACCAGAGAGTCTTTGCGCTCTTCCCTCTCCTGGTCAGAGTGGAGGAAGCTGCCAAGCCCTGCCTGCAATGTGTAGACCCATGGAGGAAACTGGGGAATGGATGCTTTTCTTGTGGGAAATCTGAGACCCATGAGGGGCTTAAGGGTCATGCAATGCACCCCACAGTTTACAAGTGAGTGGGTAAGGGCAGTGGGCTTGAGTGGGGGACACTTGTATTGGGGTGTGTGGGAGTGGCGAAGAATGTAGGACACTTGTATTGGGGTGTGTGGGAGTGGCGAGGAATGTAGGACACTTGTATTGGGGTGTGTGGGAGTGGCGAGGAGACAGCAAGGTCCCAGAGTGAAGGGCTGATGAGGAGGCAAGTGAGAGGCCATTTGATTGGAAAGGAGTAGCGGGGGACTGAGGGTCAATGCTGGCCATGGAGAATGGTGGGCTCACTGTTGAACCTGAGCCAACTCAGGCCCTTCAAGACTGTTTCTTTGTGGCTGGTGGTATGTCCTCCCCTTTTACAGAAGAGCAAACTGAGGCTCAGAGGGCCTAAGCTGTTAGCTTGTAAGGGGCAGGGCAGGGATATTTCCCAGTACTGACAATCCTGGGGACTCATGGGCAGGGGAAAAGTCATAGGATTTCTAGAACTGGAAGGAAAGGACTCTGAGGCCACCCAGTCCAGACCTGTGCCTTTATTGAGGGGACACAGAGGCCAGAAGGGGGAGGGGAGGGGCCTCATGCTGAACATGGAGCAAAGTAGAGTCAGGCCTTGCATGGGGGTTCTGCTGCGTGTGCAGATCTGGCCTTTAGAATGGTTACAGCCCCATCCTGAGACAGCCCTGGATAGCACTGCTGAGGCCTCTCTCAGCTAAGGCTATCACGGAGGGGCAGGGAGTCCTCTGACAGCTGACTCACTGCCC